AATTATAATATTTATAGATCTCGATTTTAACTTAAACTACTATTATAAATTTATTTATAGTATCTAGTATAAATAATAAATAGAATAAAATAAAGTAATAATCTTTATTTATATTTTTATTATTAAATATTTCTACTATTTATATTCTATTTATATTCTAATTAAGGTACTTATAAATATTTATAAATACTTTAAGTAATATATATATAATATATACATGTATCTAGCTAGCCTTATTTAGTAAAGCTTCGGGCACTCTTGCTCTAGTATTACCTTACTACTTAATTAGATAGTAGTAGTACTTAATAAGCGAACTAAACCTCAAATAATACTTTTAAAATTACCTCGACTTGAGAACTTAATATTAATAGTAAGGGAAAAAAGGAGAAAAACCAAGATTCTAAAGAAGATAATTAGTTTATTATTATAGAAAATCTTTATTTAAGTAGCCTTATATAAGTACTAGCTTAACTTATATAAGAATACTTAATAGAAATATTAGCTCTTTCTTTTTAAATAAATATATATTAATTTATTAAGATTATATAACTTTCAAGTACTTATTTATAAATATTTATAAATATATATTCTATTTTATTTAAACTTTTGGAGTTTTATACTACTTATATTCTATATAAGACTACTTATATTCTATATAAGACTACTTATAAATATTTATAAGTAATATAAATACCTTGAGTATTTCTTACTTATACTAATAATATCTAAATAAACTTTCTAATTAGAAATTATATATAAATAAAATAGCCGAACTAGAAGTTCTATAAAAGAAAAGAGAAATATTATTAAATCTAATAGTTATTTCTAAAAGTATTTAATAATATATAATTTTAGAAATTTCTTAGATATTAAATAAACTAGATCTATTTATTTAAAGCCTATTTTATATTAAAAAACCCACTTTTTCTTTTATGTAATTATAGTTATATTTAAAGTATATATTAAGATTTAATTAGTATATTATATATTTCTATTTTTATATAAATAGAATTTCTTTAATATATAATTCTTTTTCTAACTATAATACTATTTTATTACTAGAAACTAATTATTTTTTTAAAAAGCTAGTATAATTTACTATTTCTTATTATTAAATATTATCTAAATAATTAAAAAGATATCTTTAATTCTATATTTTTAATACTAATTTAGAATACTTGATTTTTATAAATTCTATATTAATTTTAATATTTATTATTTCAAATTTAATAATAGTATTATAAACTTTATTTATATTATTTTATAATTCTTTTTTTATAATCTCTAAAGCCTTTAATATTACTTTTATAAATATAAATATTATTTTAAAATCCTAACTAACTAAATAGTTTTATATTATATAAAATTAATTATAATAAATACTAAATAAATATAATTAGTTTTTAGAAGAAATATAAATTAGTTTCAGAAAGAATAATATCTTATTTTAAGTTATTTCTTAATTCTATTATTCTAATTTCTTTTTTATTAATATTTATTTTATATTTTTCTAATATCTTTAATATATTTATATTTCTTATATTATATTTCTTTCTTTATACTATTTTTTGAATTAATAGAAATATCTCTAAATAAATAAAAAGTCGAAATATATCTATATTATAAAAATTTTATTATTTTCTTTTATATTCTAATATTTTAAATACTATTATTATATCTATATTTCTATTATATTACTTTTTTGTTTTTTATTATTATTATTTAGTTTAATTTATTTTAATTATTAGCTAACTATTTATAGTATTTTAATAAAAAGTAGTATTTTTTCTTTTTATAAAATCGAATTATAAATAAAGGTAATTATTATTTCCTTTTTTTAATATAATATAATCGGGTTTTAATAAGATTAAATTTCTTTTTCTTTTTATAAAACCGAATTATAAATAAAGATAATTAATAGTTATTTTTTCTTTAATATAAAATAATAGCTTTATTTCTAAGAAACTAAATCTTAAATAAATACAGTTTAGTTATTTTTATTGTCTTATTTATATATATGAACTAATTTGTATTAGTTTATTAGAAATATATAATATTATTTATATAAATTAATAAAATAGTTATTATTTAGAAATAAGAATTATAATTCCTAAATTTATTAACTCTAATAAAAACTAGCTATTAATTAAGTTATTTATATAATATAAGATTATATAATTATTATTTATTATTTATATTCTATTACTTTTAGTTACTTCTATATTATATAAATAAATTCTGGGTTTTTCTAATAATATTAAAGGAATTATTTTTAATATTAATAAAATTCCTATATTTAAAACTAGTTTCCTTTTTATATAATTAGCTTTTATATTTAAATTAACTAATATTCTAATTCTATATTTAATTTTCTTTATTTTAATAATAATTTTAATAATTATTCTCGTTTTAAAAACTTTATTTTTTATAATATAAATAAATATAATTATTATAAAATATAATTATTTCCCGATTTCTTTAGTTCTAAATATTTATATATTTTATAACTAGATTTATTATAATTATAATAAATCAGTTTTTTCTAATTTAAATAAATAATAATATAATACTTTTTTCTAATAAATAAAACAAATTATATCTGGTTTTATAAATTTTAATATAAATATAATATTAGATTCTATTATTATATTTTTATTATTTTAGTTTTATAAATCTTATAATAAGAATTTATTTCTCTTTTATTTTTCTTTATTATTTTTCTTTATTATTTTTCTTTATTATTTTTCTTTATTTTATTTTTTTTATTTTTTATTAGCTTATTATTATATTTCTATTAATTAAATAAATTTAAGTTAGTTTTAATTTTTTTTTTTATAAAATGTCTTTTTAATAATTAATTTTATTTTAAATCTTTTATTTTAAGCTATTAAATAAATCAAGTTATTTTTATAATAAATTTATATATTCTAAATTATTTAATAAGCTATTCAAATAAAATATAAAGCTTTAAATATTTTAATTTAGCTATTATTTAATATTTTTTAATTTAGTAGAAGTATTATTATTATAATTTTCTAAATCTAAATTAAAAACTTTTATAAATTTAATAAAAGTCTTCTAATTTATAATATTAATATTTATTAATTATTTTCTATATTTCTAGATATTTCTAGATATTTCTAGCTATATTCTTAAAGTAGAAAATATAATATATAATTTTAATTATATTTATAGCCTAAATAATTTTAATTAATAAAAGAAGTTCTAAACTTCTTTAATATTCTTTCTTTTATAAATTAGTAGTTCTCGAGTTTTTAGAGTCTTTTAAATTAAAAATTAAATTAAAAATATAATAGGCTCTATATTAGATATTTAAATATTTTTAAAATAATAGATTTAAGCTTTTAATTTTTTTTAAATTCTTTTTTTATTATATTTCAATTTTTAATTTAATAATATAATAATAAACTATAATTAATTTCTTTATTATTACTATTTTACTAGCTATTTCTAGAAATATCTGAGTTTTATTTCTTTTTCCTAATTAAATAATATAAAAATATCTAATTAGATATTTTTCTAAATATTTAACTAGATTATTCTAATAGTAATAGAAGTACTTCTTTTAATTAATAGTTTTATTTATTAATAATTTAATTACTTTTCCAAAATTAGATTAATTAAAATATAAAATATATAATAATAAAATAATATATAAGTAACTAAAATAAATAAACTATGAAATAATATTTATAAATAAAACTAATTCCAAGAATTAATTCTAATAAAAAACTAATTAATATCTCTTTTTAAAACTAGAAGTATTTTTTATATAATTTCTAGTATTTAGCTTAATATATAATACTATTTATTTAATTAGGAAACATAATTCTAATTATAAGCTTTATTTAAAATAAGAAACTAGATCTATAATATTTAATATCTATTTATATATTATTATATATATTTATTATAACTTAAATCTTTATATAAAGAAAACTAGTAATTTAATTAATTAAAATTCTTAAAAGAAAGAAAAAAAGAAAAAAAGAAAAAAAGATTTTTAAAATATTTGAGTTTCCTAAATAATATATAATTATATTAATAATTAAAAATAATATATTTTCATAAATATAATATTTAAAGCTTAAAAAATAAAATAGAATTTCTTTATAAAAATATAAGAAATTATAAAAATATAAATATATATTTTATAATATATTAATTTATAAAAAGCTTAATATCTTAAATATTTTTATATATATTTTAATTATATTTCTTTAATAAAGTAATTATATTATATATATAATTATATAATTTAAAAATAACTAGAAATAATAAAATATAAATAATTATATTAAATAATTAAATTAAAAGCTAAATTATAATATATATTATATAATTATAAATTTATTTACAATTTATTTATAAATATATATAAAATTAAAGATTATAATATTAGATTTTTTTTTTTAAAAAAAATAAGTTTTTATAATAGTAGAATTATAGTAATAGCTAGAATTTAAAGATTTGAAAATCTTATATATTAAAAATACTAAACTAAAAAGAAGAAGAAAAAAAGAAATACTAACTAAAATAACTAAAATACTAGCTTAATAAATAAATTAGTTAGGTAATAGCTAATCTCATATAACTCTAGCTAATACTATTATAGTTTTATTTAATTATATAAATAAATTTTATAAATATTATATAAATAAAAGTAATAAATTACTATATTTATAAATATAAATAATTATTAAATTATAAAGAAAGATTTTCTTTTAGATTTTCAAGGGCTTTTTAATTTTATAAATAATATAATAGTAGTGCTTTTTTGTAATTACGAGGATATTTCGCTATACTAGCCCCCCTAGCTTGCGTAAACAAAACCCAGCTTTCGACAAATCTAAATCAGGCTTTTAATCAGGCTTTTAATCAAGTGGCACGTGACCGATTGCCAACAGGTGACAGCCAAGTTTCTCATGCAGGGAGGGCTTCGGCAGTGCAGGATTTGCAACGCCAAACCTCCCTAACGCGACGCCTTGACAACCCAGGAACAGCAATCTTGAACCACCGCGCATCATAATGCCGCTTTGTATGCTGTGCGAGCAAATTACGCCATGGACATTGAAGTCCGTCAGATTTGATGGAGCGACATTGCTGGATCCAGAGAAATGCAATTCGCATCATCGAAGCTTCTCACTTCTGCAGAAATCCGCTGTCGAATGTGGACTCTGTAAGTTGATGAGAGATGCAATACTGGACAATAAGCTGAATCTCGAGGGAAATTGGCCCCTGCGAGAAGATGCCCCAGTGCTCCTGGGAAGTGTGATCAATGTGTATGCCGACCCAAGAGTTGAAGCCCCCCAACTCTACAATATCCTCGTACAATGTGGAGATCTTTTCGTGACCTTACATGCTTTCGCGGATGCAGAATCACAAGCAGCGAAGTCCAATGCAGTCGCCGGCAGGCTTCCATTTGAGACTGGAAGCCAGGCGCACTTCGATATGATAACTACTTGGCTGAGAAATTGCGAACGGACGCACCCAAATTGTAGGATTGGTGGGGTAGGAGAAGCTCTGGCCGATATAGGTCAAGACCAGAGTGTGAAGCTCCCACGGCGAGTCGTCGATGTCGGAGACTCAGCTGATCCAAGAATTCGGTTGATTGACTCTTCAAATGTCAAGGGTCAATATGTCGCGTTAAGCCATAGATGGCCTGTCGATCCTTCGAAGCACTTCAAAACCACCAAGTCCTCCATTGATGGCCACAGGCAACAGATCGTCTTTGAGGATCTACCGCGCACCTTCCAAGACGCGGTCACAGTGACGCGGAGGTTAGGGCTTCGTTATCTCTGGATAGACTCTCTCTGTATCATCCAAGACAATTCTGATGACTGGAATCAGCAGTCGATGGTCATGGGCAAGATTTACAACGAGTCTACCATTACCATCATGGCAGCCACATCCATGAATATTCCCAATCACGAACCGGCGCCGGAAGGATTCCTTCACCAGCAGCCAAGTTTGACTCTGCCAACGATCGAAATGGACTACTACAGTCGTGACTGGAGGCGGGACGGGCATTGGTTCATTCGGCATATGGACCCGACGAGACACCACTCTCATATCTTGGATTTGTTGACAAGAGGATGGGTGCTGCAAGAGCATATGTTGTCGCGAAGAAAGGTTATCTATACCCCTGACCAACTACTCTGGGTAAGTCACATTTGACCAGGCCCCAGAATCCTTGACTAAAATTGCAAAGAATTGCAAGTCGATGCAGGTTCTCGAGGTTAATCGCGATATCAAGACCGATTCTCAACGTATTCAGGGGACCGAGAGTTGGGAAGATACGTTCTTCGTAGACCACTGGCTGGGGATTGCCGAAAATTTCTCTGCCAAAGATCTCACTTTCGAATCCGACAAGTTACCTGCTCTATCCGGCCTGGCATCTTACTTTTGCCGAAGACATGGTCAAGAATACTTCGCGGGTCTCTTAAGTGGTAGCATTGCCGAAGGATTACTATGGCGTCCGTACTCACCTGGCAGCCTCTCTCGACCGATGGAATATACTGCACCAACTTGGAGCTGGACTTCTTTGAAAGGACGTATCAAGATCGTCGCCCCATCGCAATCCAGTCGCGGCTCTCTAAGATCGAAACATGCCATAGAGGACATCAAGTTCGAGCTCTTACCCGAAGGGAAAAATCCAAATGGACGGCTCAAGGATGGGCGAATGAAAATCACTGGCTTGATAATGAGGGCAGAGATGTGTCGCGAGAACGATAATGCCAATCTGCTGATGAGGCTCCGCGTTGGAACTAGATCCTTGGCACAATTCCATTTAGATCTCGCAGAGTCTGCCCCCGCGCCTTTATCGGTCCAGGAAGTTGCGTGCTTGTATGTGTTGGAAGACGAAGAAAATGTGCTAGTTTTGAGGAAGAGCAGGAATTTGTACGAATACGAGCGAATTGGCATCGCCACTGTTGATCCAGCATGGTTTCACGACGGAGGCGCGAAGAAAGAACGCATTACGATTGTTTGAATAGCGTGGTTTCTGAGATACATCGAACGGTGTAGAAATCTCCAACGATCTCACAGTAAATGATTAAGAGAGAACTTGATGAGAAAATGCTTAAGGGCCCGTTCTGCCAATCACATATATCTCTATTTATTATATAATATTATTTTAAATTAAATTACTATTCTTTAATTATATTACATAATACTAGTAATTTTTTTAATTATTAATCAATTCTCCTATTTATATAATACTAAATAATTTTTTAAATAAAAATATTATACTTTATTTTAATTTATTACTTTAAATATTATTATTTTTAATTGATTTTTTGATTTTTTTTTAAGAATATTTAATAAATTATAATATAAATTTCTCATTTCAAATAATTATTATAAATTAGGCCTTTATATAAAGAAAATTATATAATTAATTAATTAAAATTATATTTTAAAATTTCAAAATTCTTTAAATAATATATAATTATATTATTTAATAAAAGAGCTATAAAAATAAAAATAAACTCTAAAAGTACTTATAAAAAAATAAAAAAATAAAGCTTTATAAATAGAAGTAATATTTAAAGAACTTATAAGAAATAAGAAAATCTTTAAAAATTTATTAAAAAGTTATATAATTTTCTTAATTTTCTTAATATTATAATTATTTTTTTAATTTTATTTTAGATAATTTTGTATTTATTAATGTTTTATTAATATTTTTTAATTCTTTTATATATATAAGTTTAATTTATATTATAATAACAGAATTAATATAATAGTTAAAGGCTTAAAATTTAAAGAATCTTATATATTAGAAAATATTAAATTATAGAATAAAATAAAGAAAATACTTTAATTTATAGTATTATTTTACCTAAATAATTTCGGTTTAGCTTTGTTTCATATCTATTTCTAATATTCTATTCTTAGTAAATTATACTTTTATACTAGTTATTATATATATATTATAATTTCTTTTTAATATTTTCAATATTTTTTATATATATAAGTATAATTTATATTATAATTTTCTTTTTATATTATCTAATTATATTTAATTATATAAGTTCTTAACTTATTATAATAATAAATATATATAATAAATATAAAAGTTTTTAATTTATTATAATAGTAAATAGATATAATAAAAATAAGTTTTTTATTAAATAAAATATTACTTATAATTATAATATTAGTTTACTAGTAATATATAGTATTATTATATATTCGTGAAATATTATTTATATAAGATTAGTAAAGTTATTACTATTTAATAATAGAGAATATAGTATTATAATATTAATATATAATTTCTAAATTTACTAAGTCTAATAGAATCTAGTTTACTAGTCGAGTTATTTATAGAATATAAGATTATATAATTCTATTCTATATCTTAAATATTTTATTACTTATATTTCGTATCTTATATCTCGTAACTATATATATAACTTCTAAAGAAATAGCTATACTAATACTAGAACCTTTTTTAAAAAACGCGAAAAATAATACTTTTTTCTAATTATATATAAATTCTCTAATTTGGTCTAATACTAGATTTCTCAAATATTCTATATATCTATATTGCTTTTAAAGTTTTAATTATATATTAAAAGCTATAGCCTTTTATATATAACTTTCTTTCTTATAATATTTTTTTATTTTTATATATTTATTTATTTATTTTATATTTTATTTATATTTTATTTATTTCTTTATATCTAATTATATAATATTTATATTAATTAAGTATTTAAGGATATTTATTAGCTTCGATTTTATTATGAAATCGGCAGGATTTAATTCTTTCTTAATTTATTTAATTTCTATAGTCTTTTATTATTTATTTATCTAATAAAAATATATTATATTAATTATTAGATATTTGTTTCAAATAATTCCTAATTTAATAAGATATTTATATAATAATTTTGAATTCATATAAACTACTAATAATAGTTCTATTTCTAGTATTTTATTTATTATAGATTTAACTAAAGTACTTATATTAAAGCTATAAGCTATATTATAGAATTCAAAAACTAAAATACTTCTAGTAATTCTTTTATATTTAATAGAAAACTAGTAAATAATATTAGTATATCTAGTTCTATTTATTAGAACTAGAATATATTTAATTTAGGAAAAGAGATCTTTATTATTTATAAAAATAATTAAATATAAGAACTCTTTTATTAGCTTTATAAATTTTAATTCTCTAGTAATATTTTTAATTTATTATTAAATATATTTATTAAATATTTTTATATTAGTTTCTAAAGATTTAATAGCTTAAGTAGTAATTAATAGGTTATATAAGGCTTTTAGTTAATAGACTAATATAATATATACTTTTCTAGTATATTAGGTAATATATTAATTTTTAATAAAGAAATCTTAAAAAATAGTACTTCTATTACTTATAATAATAATATTTTTTATAGAAATAATTTAAAGGTTTTTATATTAGTATTTCTATATAAAAGTAATTCTAGTAATATTTATATAAATAATGCTTTTATTAAACTTGAGATTATAATTAAAAGTAAGATATTTATATTTCTTAGCTAAGAACTTAGTTTCTTAAAGCTTTAATTATTCTGTTTTTATAAAATTATTAGTTTTAATAAATAAGGTATTATTAGTATTAGTATAGCTATTTCTTTAGGAATTATATATATAGTTACGGGATACGGGATACGGGATATAAGTAATGAGATATAAGTAATAGGATATAGAATACGAGATATAATTATGTAACCTTATATTTTATTAGTAACTCGACTAGTAAATTAGATCCCTTTAGGCTTAGTAGATTTAGGGATCGTATATTAATACTATAATACTATAATTCTTACTTCTAAATAATAACTTTATTAATCTTATATAAATAGTACTTCTATACTTATATAATAGTATTATATATTACTAGTAAACTAATACTAATTAGTTAGTACTTATAAATTAGAAAGAATTAAGTTATACTTGCCTAAGATTCGGTTATTTAGAAGCAAAGCCATTATTCTAGTTAAAGAGGAAATAACTATTAATTCTATTACCTATAATTTAGTTATATAGGCAGGAAAAATACTTGATCTTATTAAGGCCTAATTATACTATATTAAAGGAGGAAATATCTATTAGTCCTATTACCTGTAATTTGGTTATATAGGCAGGAAGGGTACTTGATTTTACTAAGTACTAAAACGGTTAGCTATTTAATTATCCTATTCTATTTCTATTTAACTCTTATAAAACTCTCTCAAAAACTACCTTCTTTTAAATTCCTGGGGCTCTTAAGCTTTAGAACTATTAAGTCTTCCTGAAATCTCGATATTTTATTCCTTAAATTTCACTTTCTAAATTTCTTATTATAGACGAAATTTTTACCTTAAATATAATACCTATTATAAACTACTTATCTTATAAATTACTCTTCTCTTTATAAACCTATTCTTCTTATAAATTACTATATCTCGAACTAAGTATAAGCCTATAGAATATATAATAGTAGAATATATTATAGTAAATAATTTCTTTATTAGATCTATCTAATTCGATTATTCTATAAATAATAATAATTTCAAGAAATTAGTAAGAAAATAGAAATATAGAATTAATCTAACTTTATTAAGGCAGACGAGATAACTAAGTTCTTGAATACTAAGCTATTTTAATATATTCTCTATAAAATAGTTAATAATAATCTTTGGGAACTATTTAGATATAATTTTAAGAACTTTACTTATTAAGAGAACTTTAATAAATTCGAACTCCCGGAAATACTATATTTATATAAGACTCTTTAATATAGCGGCGTATTTATATAATAGAATAATACTACTAATACTATTATAAATACCCTATATATTATTATAAAAAAGAATAAATAGTATATATAATTAAATAAGAATATATTAGTAGCTAGACTAAATCTTATTAAGGGACTAATTCTATTAGGCTTTATTACTTTTATAAAGAATAAGTATCTAGAATCTATTATCTTTAATAGTCTTATACTATTATTACTTCCTTTATTACTTCCTTTATTATTATATTCTATACTTCTACTAGATTTATATATTAGTATAGAAGCTCTAAAAGTAAATAGTATACTTTTACTATTACTATTACTATAACCATATCCGAATAACCCTTAATTCTTTTTAATTATAAGACTTATTAGGGAAGTTACTAAGATTTATACTAAAAAGCAAAAGTATAATAAATCTAATAGTAATTTTAATTATAAATTTACTATTTTCCTTAATATTTACTAATATATAGAGCTTTTATAAGAGGTACTAATACGAGCTTTTCCTACTATACTAAAGGAACTAGCTTAAGACTACTTCTATAATAACTAGCTCTCTTAATATATATATAAAGAGGCTTATATTAATATCTATAGCTTTTTTAAAAATTCTGGATTCAAATATTGGAATTTAGATAAGTAAAATACTATTATATTAGCTTCTATAATAGCTAAATTTCCGGAAAAAACGATGTTTGAGACTATTTAATTACTAATTAATAAACTATATTAACTATAGTACGGTCTTATATTTAACTTATAAAATACCAAATTCCTTTATAATAAAATTATTACCTCTTACTAAGGCTCCCGGATATATAAATATATAATCTCAGATCTTTCTATAAATCTCGGCCAGCTTATTAATAAGCTTTAGTTATTTATTACTATATATAAAAGCAAATAATAAGCTAACCCCGAAATCTTTTTTATTAATTAATAATATTATTCTCAGAACTCTTTAAGCTATTATTCCTCTGGAAATTATTAATACAGACCCAGTTATAACTTCGGAACCTGTAATAATTACTCTAAGCCCTGTAATTATAATAATTATATTCCGAAGTCGTGTTTTATATATAAGAAACCCGAATACTACTTATAAAAGTATATACCGGAAGAATAAGAGGCTAAGAAGGCTTGATTTAGGAATAGAAATATCTATTAGTTTAGATCTCGAAATACTTATAACTTTAATAAATGCTTTAGTAATATTTATATATAGTATATTACTAAAGCTAAAGGCAAAGAAAGTAATAAAAGTAATAAGAACAAACTAGTAAATAATGCTTTTAAGGCTTTATTAGTAGAAATAA